GGTGTCCTGCAGAGTTTAGCTCCAACTTGCCTCAACACACCTGCTACAAAGTTTCTAGTAGGCCCTATGTCTAGTAAGAGCTTGATTAGCTGGTTCAGGTGTGTTTAATTGGGGTTGGAGCTAAACTCTGCAGGACACCGGCCCTCCAGGACCGAGCTTGGGCACCCCTGGTATAGTATTCTTTATTATCTGCGTCCTGTCTTGTCACTGTCATTCTGTTGCACTGTGGAGCTTCTGTAACTAAAACAAATTCCTCGTATGTGTAAACATACCTGGCAATAAAGCTCATTCTGATTCTGATAATAAGATAACAAGATAATAAGATAAAGATAATAATAAAATAAGTGATTCAATTCACTTATTTTATAGTGTAATAATGGAACCGGTCACAATCAGACATTAGTTTGGTTTAAGCTGGTTTACCAGTGTCTTGGAGCTGTTGTTCAGGTGGTCTAACGGGTCTCCCTGACTTATCTGTCAAATGTATTGTAAGGCTAATGGTGACTGGTCATTTATAGGAATGATCTGGACTCTGGAGCCTTCCGACTCAATGAAGGATTGTATGTGGAAAAAGTGACACCTAGGGGTGGAGTCTCTAACAACACTTAATTAAAACGTGAACCTCTTTCTCAGGGGTCACCAAACTCTTTATATTTGTTTAATGTTGATAAAAAGCATAACATCTTACTTTCTTTTTCAATTCCTTTAATTCCATTTTAAACATCCATTGATCCAAATTAGGCATTTGACTTGACATGTGAAAAGGTATAGGTAAGCTAAGCCTATTCAAAGGAGAATAATAGGCTATAGAAATTATGACTAAGGTGTGGGTGAAATAATCGTCACATAGATATAAAATTGTGTAAATGTTGAAATGTGACATGCTTTCATGAGTATAATTTTTATTGTCACAATATTTGTCTCTCTTTTATATTCATATTTCAGTGTCCATTATTTATTGTTCAAATTTGACTTCTGCTCAGGCGAGCTGTCCTTAGCCACATGACAGGGTTCTGCAATGAGAAGAAGGGGGAAACAAAATTAAATTAGACACAATAAATACCTTCATCAAATATTTTGCAGGTGTGTGTGTATTTCCTGATATTTGCAACCACAATTAAATTATATTGATATTTGCTTAAGAGGTTCTGTAGAATATTGATCAACACATGATATTCACAAGTTTTGGCTCAGACTGGGTTCTCTGACCCGGTACTCCATCATAGGAGTACTGGCTTTCTCCTTTGATTCCACACACAGCTTGCTTCCAGTTCATGTCAGACTCATTTTTCTCTCTCGCTCTCTCGCTCTGTGTGTGTGCAGGGTCAAATAAGAAAAATTTGTGCTATTTTTTTATTTATTTATTTATTTTTTAACAGTCCCTGTCGATGGCAAGTGTGACTTACTGAAGAGGTAGAGTGTGTTTTTGGTCATATTATTGAATTGATTTATGTGCATGGTGAGGCAGTCAGGGCAGGATGGGAGAAACCTGCCCTCTGTTGATGTCATTTTCTTTAGATCAAAAAGATATGCAAGTCAACAACCCTTGATCTCAGCTGAAAAAAGTGTTAACACAATGTGTTGAATGAAATTGTCTTACCAAAGAGATAAAGGTGCTGTCTTTAAGAGTTATGTTGTTATTATACTATATTATAAACTTTCTATAGACTATCTCCATTTCTGATGGGGAGAATGATCAGATAGATATGACTCAAAATCCTGGTCGTTAAGCATTAAATTACAAAGGATGCACAAACTAGAGGAAGCATCTTAATGTAAAGAATCTTACTTGATGTACCTGTGACCAAGGGATGCGGTGTTTGCAGGAGTTCTCGGTCCAACACCCATCTATGAAGTGTTGGCACTCTTCAGTGAGTTCATATATAACTGGTGATCAGAGACACCTTCACGGACAATCCATTTCCCCATGATCTATTGTAAACAAAATTAATCAGTAAAATTGAAACTTTAAGAACTTACTCCACCATGGTCCATAAAATATAAAATGTAAGCAAGTTAGTTAATTTATTTAATAATAATAATTTATTAATTAATAATCATAATTTAATATTTGTTTCAATACAGTAAATTACATAAACTTATATACACAACATATGATGTAGTTCCAGAAACATTAGATACTACTACTACTACTACTACTACTACTAAAATGCCACCTGTAGAAATTTGTATCTAAATTAATTCTACATTTCTTTTGTCATTAAATGCAAATCCTTATAGGTTTCTACAAGTATTATTAAAAAAGATTGCATGTAGAGCATTTACATATTTTCATTCCATTTTAAATACATTTATTTTATGTTTGATGCCTCAATTGAAAGTTAGAAATTGAACTGGAATTTAAAAGGTATTTTCAGTTCTGAATGGCACAGGACTCTGCTTTTAACACTAGTCACTAATCAAATTATACATCATAAACTACAGGTTGTTCTATAAACCATATGAGTTGTTAAGCAATCTTAATTTTTATTATGAACAGCATATTAGTTTGACCATATTAATGCATATTTGACTCAGTTTTGATAGCAGATAAGTAAATAATAACTTCACAATTTACTGATTATTTATATTTATCCATTTTTTTAGGTAAATTTGGGGTAAAAATATGTAAATAAGTGGTTATCAACTATGATCTATTTATCTTTTTCGAAGAAAATAAATGTTCCCTGTTTCCTCATAAGCTCCTGTAGTGTTAATTTACTATAAAAGAATACTTGCTCTAAAATATATTAATAATGCACTTACACATTTATTGTCATCTGCTGTGTTATGAGCTCCTTACAGTCTGGCAGAGATGCCTGACTCAAACTAAACAGGCCCAGAGCATTTAAAACCACTGATGTACATAGACATTGTAGAACTTCAGAAGAGGTTCTTGATTTCATGATTTCAAAAAATCATGCTGTGTGGATCAAGTACCCTAAATAGTCCAGATACACAGTACTGTTTTTTTTTTCTCCCTGAAGTGATGCAACAGGTTCTGAGAATTCTAGTTAACTGGATTGAATTGAGTGTGTAAATCTCTGGACTTTGGACAACTGGGAAACACCCCTGTCAGAATAACCTTGAGCCTTTAGAAATGAGGACAATCCCAAAAGATACTGAACTTACCCACACAGTCACATTCATAATCATTTATGTATGAATGGTATGAATGTGAACTTTTGTTATTACCACTTATTAAAACACACACACACACACACACAAACAAACAATGACACGATGAATAAAAAAGATTCTTTATTCAATTTAACTTTGTCATGGGGGTTCTTACAAATTTGATCACAAAAAAAGGTTTAATGCATGTATTATTGATCTGATTTGTCCAAACTTGGCTTCTGGTCAGATGAGTTGTCCTTGATCACATGACAGAGTTCTGCAATAAGAGGAGAAGAAGAAAAAAAACTATTAATGTGCAATTAATTCAGTATCTCTTAATTCTGATTTCTTTTTGATTTGGGGGTTAAATTATGACCTAAACATGTTATAGAATGATTTTGTGAGATTTACCTGTAACTTCTGTATCTGAAATCATGTTTTATACATATTTATAAGTGATATTGAATCTCAAATGACCAGGAGCAGTAACTGCTCTACATCAGAACCAATAGCTGTTGTTAGGGCCGTCCTTAGTTGACCCGGGGGGGGGGTGCAACCGCACCAGTTGCAACCCCCTAAGGATGACCCAAACTGACCTGTTACTCCATCATAGGAGTACTGGGTTTCTCTTTTGAATCCGAGACACTCGGCTTGCTTCCAGTAGGTGTCCATGTCAGACTCGGTTCGGTTGCTCTCTCTCTCTGCAGGAACAAAGAAGAAATAAATGAATGCTTTTTCCACAGTTGGTCATGGAATACATAATTTTAATATGATGCAATGTGTCTACATGGATTCCACATGCCTATGGATTTTGTGACTTACTGAATAAATATAAAGAATATATGGTCTTATTTTTGAATTGGCTGATGAAGTTCATGGTGAGACAGTCAGGACAGGACGGCAAGAACTTGCCCTCTGATACTATGTCATTTCCTGTGGACCAAAAACACCAACATAACATTCATTAGTACTCAGAGTCCATGAGTTTTACCTGAAATAAATACGCTTTTGTTAACTTACCACTGGCATAAAAAATACTATCTTTAACAGTTGTGTTAATGGTGCAAAATTCACACTTTCCATTTCTGAGAGGGAGAGAGATATCAGATTCAGAATGCTGGTCATCATAATTATAAAATTCATTTAGTTTAGCTTTAGTTTACAGGACAGCCTTACAGCATATTCCCTTGACTGAGGGTTAAAGTTTTTGCAAGAGTGCTTGGGCCAAACTCCATCCATGAGCTGTTCACAGTCTTCAAGATATCTGTAAATAAGTGGTGATCAGCTATGCCTTCAAGGAAGATCCATTTACCCATGATCTGTTTGGAAGAGAAAAGAAGTTGTGAAATGTATGTTCCTTAAATAATCTCCCGTAGTGTTCATTTACTATAAAAGAATACTTGCTCTAAAATATATTAATAATGCACTTACACTTTTATTGTCATCCTCCAGGGTTCGTGGTGTTATGAGCTCCTTACAGTCTGGCAGAGATGCCTGACTCGAACTAAACAGGCCCAGAAGAGCAGCCAAGACCACAGAAGAAGACATTGTAGAACTTAAGAAGAGGATTTCAGAAAATTATGCAGCATCACCTGGGGAACAAGTACTTTATATAGAACAGCTTATCACATATTATCATCTGGATGTTCTGAAGTGATGCAACAGTTTGCGTTTTTGTGATGACAGTGCCAGTATTCTGTAATGAATTAAAAAAATTGTGAACTTTAGGGACCAGGAAAACCCTGAGTTGACACAGCATTCAAGTAATTGTGGAATGAAATAATGTTCTTATTTTTCTTTTTATTGGTACAGTCTTTAGGGTACATGTTTAAAAAAAGAATAAAGAAAATTGTCAAAGAAAAACAATATTTATAAAATATATTAATAATAATAGTATCCATAAAATATATTAAATCAAATTTACATTGCATTTTCATTTTTATTTTATTATAATAGATTTTGTTCTGTAAATGATACTTTACTGATCTGTTGTTATTTGACCGTCCTTCCCACAGTAGTACATTATTTTATAAAAGTACATTGGTAATTCCCAAGTGTATGACAAGCACAGTCATTTTTATATGCACTTCATGATTAATCAAAATTCTCAAACTATTTTAATAAGGGAATGTATGAATAAATCACATTTTGAAACCCATGGATCATTTTATGACATTTTATGGTCAAGTCATTTTATGACATTTGCTCTCTACATCTTCAGAATCAAAATACTACATATATATATTGTTATACTTTTAAACTCTAGCACAATATTATTTGCCGTCTTTAGTGAAATCTTTAGTGAGCTGACAGACTCTGTGAACTGTAAATCATTAATGTTTAATGGTTGTTAGAAATCTTCTTACCAACTATTTTAGTCACTTCCTTCGGTCAGAGATTGAAAGTAAAGGAAAAAGTTATTTTGGGGTATGACTATGTAAACAAATGAAAAAATTAAAGTGATGGATTACAAGTCCCAGTGATCAGAAATAAAATGGGCAGTAAAATAGGCCCACTTTGAGTCACTGCACTGTTTAGACATGGACAGTCCCAGCGATAAGGTTTATCTCTTTCGGTTTTGTCTTTGTGCCTGATCTGGTCGATTATTCTTTGCCCTTTCTGCTCACGAAGCTCCTGTTGACCGTAGTGGGAGATCAAAGAGATGTCACCGGTGCTGTAAGAGGAAGGCTGAGGGCAGTCCAACCAATCAGTGGCCAGAAGCCGAGGGTATCCTTCTTCAGGGGCGGAGCCTGGGTGAGTAAATTTCCAGTAGGAATTGCCTTTGAAAAGGTAGGTTGAACCTGATTGATATAGAGAATAAAAAAAATAAGTAAATCAGTAGCGCTCTAAAACAGTGTCACACATACATTCCCATGCAATGCAGTAGTATTTATATATTTTAACTAATGGTTTTGAAGCAACACACCCTTAAAGTCCCCAGTCCTTTCTCTCTCATCGGCATTCTCCATGATGATTCCATTCACTCCTTCTTCAATGAGCTCTCTCCAGACTTCACTTTCCTCTCCTTGCTCTCCATCCTCTCTCACAGACCCCCACACCACACCCTGCTTTGGGTCCCAGTGCAATCCTTGCCACCCTCCTTCTGAGTCCTCAGGAGCCAGAGTAGACAGAGGCTGAGGGAAACCCTCTTGGAGTGACAGATCCTTAAACAGCCAAACCTGGGAACCTGCACATGTATGTTTAGTAGTTTACTTTAAGTAGAGTGGTGTCAAGTCATTGGTGTCAACTGATGATCACTTGCACATATAAATAGCAAGGTTGTAGAAATGATCTCAAAATCTGTTTTACGTGAAAATATAAGGTATTTTTTACAGCGTGTCTATTTACACTAAGTGCAAATAGCCTATCTTGTTGGCAAAGGCTATTTACTCTAGCTCTGCCCATCAGACAAAATTAAAAAAAAGAAACCCATCTGGTAACAGGAATAGTGGTGTGTAGAGTAAGGATAGTGGATCGACTCGAATTTGAATCCGCCTTTTACTGATCCCATTCTTTGCATATCACAGATCGGAAATTGGATGGCTCATCAACTGAACAGTATGTTCTGGCAGCTCATATTTTTACCGTGCTGTCACTATTAAATAAAACTATTGAAACATTTTTTTTTAATTGAAATAAATCTGAAATAAAATAAAATTTAAATATTAGATGGAAAAACGTAAAAAAATTTAAAATTAAATAAAAAAATAAATGAAATGTCAGAAATTTTGCCTTGGCAACTAACTGAAATAATTTGAAGTACTAAAATTACTAAAATGGAAATAAATAAAAACTAAAATAAAAATTAAATTATATCTAAACAGAAATAGTTAAATAAAAATACAAAAGCATATAACAAAATTACTAAAGGTCTCAATAAGGCAGCACTCATTTATGATTATAATAAATATAAATATATTCACTGAATATGTTGAATGAGTATACTGCATGCTGTTTTATAAATATACTACAATACATTATGGTGCAAATAGCATCTGCCTATACCCTTACGAAAAAGAAGTTTATTCAAGTGTGCTATTAGTATACTTCTTTTAAACAAAAAAATAGGAAAGTATACTTTTAGTCTACTTTTTATGTACTTCTCAGAAATTGGCTTTATGTACTTCTCAGAAGTATACTTAAAATGGCATTTAAGTATACTTGACTTATACTTAGAAAGTGCTCGTAGAATCCGTGTTTTCATTGTTATACTGTAGGGGGCGCTAGTACACATTTTCTGTACAGAATTTTCAAAAAACACAAGTGAAGAAGAAACCGAAACAACAGATGCTTCCACATGTATTCTAACACGATCATCAGACATAAAACAGTATCAAAACTGGGTAACGTTATGGAATAAAATGATGACCAATGAAGAGGTAATAATGACTGTCAAGCTTTGGCGTGTTGATCAACTTTACCTACGTTTTGATTATTGTTCTGAATCCAATTCATAGTCTTTTTTCAGCTTTTTGTTCAAAATGTTAGTATGAATAGCATTCAATACACTAAGTGAAAATAGCATCTTACTACTGTTTACATTTTGTATTTTACTACTATTTAACGGAGGTGTAAAGTATTTGAGTAAATGTAATTAATTACTGTACTTGAGTATCTTTTTGTATACTCTGTAGTTCTACTGAGTATCAAAGATATTAGCAACTTTTACTCTCTACTTCACTACATTTTTGAACAAGCATCTGTACTCTTTACTCCACTACATTTGAAATGAGTGTTGCAGTTACACATTACATTTTGCATGGCACCTAGCTTTTCTGCAGCAGTTTATTTCTACTACAAAAGAAGTGATATAGCCAACTAGAGGGCACTGAAAGTACTATATCTTGTGTGTTTTGCCCTTACTCACCCAAACTTGTCAACAAGGCTACTTTACGTAGGCTACGTTCCTTAGCAAGTAGTTGTGAATCACAGGAGTTTTATATATGAGATGAGGACATGACTGCAGCCGGCGATGAGGCTGAAACCAGCACATCCAGTGCAAGGAGGCTTTGACTTTTTAATTTGACTTAACCTTATTTTATTTATCCATTATATTTTTGAGGTGTTGAGTTTTATTTTGGTTTTAGAAAATAAACGCGATTGCTCTCCTCACAAATCAACTCTTTCTTGTTTTTCACTGGCATGTCTCTTTGACTAGTGCATCTTTGAGCCTATATTTAATATAGCTAAGTAAAACTGTTAAAATCAGACTTTTACTCAAGTTGTTTTGGAACTGACTTGTAACTTGGAGTAATTTTCACTGTAAGGTATCTGTACTTTTACAGATACAGTATGGTTTTCAGGTACTCTTTACACCTCTGCTATTTACCCAATTTACACTTAGCTTCTGTCATATTTTTATTCTTTGCATTATGGCCAAGTAAAATAAATCTCTTTAAATTACATAAATTAACTCTCAAAAGTGTGGTGCACAATTAGAATTCAGCATGAATTTTAGTTTTTGAATTTTCAGCATGCGTTTGTGATGTGATTGTGCTGGGAAACTGACCACTGATAAAGATGATGGCATGATCTGTGTGTCTTTCCATAACCGCTCGCAGTGGAGGCAGTGAAGAAGGAAGTGCTGACCAAAGTCTCTGTACAGGAACAGCCCTGACTGACACCAGACCACCTCTGCTCACTCTCCACATGTTCTGCCCTGCAAAATGCACGAGGAAAGGTATGAGAGACATAGGAGAAATATAAATAAATACTTTGTACTGTTACTGTATATGGTGACACTGGCTGGATGGATACAGAGTGTTGTATAGCAATAACGAGGACTAAGAAGATGACAACACAAGTGGAGGAAGTGTTTTTGTTAACATATCAAATAACTCCTTAAATCCGTTCAAGCTACAAGTATCTACCTTTGAAGAAAAAGATCTCTCCTCGAATCTTGGCAACTGCATCAAAACTGGTGTTACAGCGATCCACAGAACTTGAGACAAAAAGAGACATTTCAAATGATTTTTCTCTTAATTAAAATACATTGAAAATTTTAACAAACTTCTTTTAGTTAATAAAAAATAAAACAACTAAGAAACAGGACTTTGAATATTTAAAGGTATAGTTTACCCAAAAATGAAAATTCTCATGTTGTTCTAAACCTGTATGAGTTGAACATAAAAGAAGACAATTTGAAGAATATTGGTAACCAAACAGTTGACGGTAGCCATTGACTTCCATTGTATGGAAAAAAAGTCAATGGCTTTCAGCAACTGTTCAAAATAATGACAGAATTTCATTTTTGGGTGAACTATCCCTTTAAACATCTTTTGCCTTTAAAGTCAGTCTGAATCAGTTTTCTACAATCTAATGTATTTACAAGTTAAAGCATGAATACACATGACTCTTGGCCACATATTTCCTCATATTTGCAGTCTATAGTCAATACTTGTTGCCGAAAATTAGAGCCAGTCTACAGATTATGAGCAGTCAGAGCTGACAGATTTCAAACATCAAACATGTCTGATATTTTTAGCCCATGTTAGATATATATATATTGTATTTGTCATGTGCCTCCTATCAATGAGGCTCATGTTTCTGCTTGAGTTTTCACACTACTTGAAAGTCTGGTAGTGTGTGATCCTCGGTCATTTGATGTTCAGTTTTTCTCCATTTACTCCTAAAAATCTGTTTATATGTAGTGTATTCCAGCATTATTTGTGCAGAATTTGTGTATATAATCTCATTTTTGATTTGATGTTCAATTCAAAAGTTTTACTTGATTCTTTCTTACCTGTCCAAATGGCTGTGAGCATGTCTGTACATGTGTGTGAGCCGGTGTATTCCTCCATGTCTGTGACGCGATTGAGCTTCCGTCAGAAGAAGAGGTCTGTCCGTTGGAACATGGTTACCCCTCTTACCTGAATTCATAAACAGACACACATGCAGAATAGATACTTTGAGTCTTTATGAGCTATAATTGCCAAACAGAGATACCAAACAAGGCGTTTAATGACAGTTACCATAAAGGGCTGTGATGAGTTGAAGGTCATGGTGTCCCAGGCTACAGTGTAACGGGTCTCCTAGGGGCCCCTGGTAGTATGGACGCATTACAGATTGGCGTGCTGATGAATGGGTCAGTCCGAGGGCGTGACCAAGCTCATGCACCAGTACCGTGAACAGATCTGTGCCCTCCGTTGCTGTGTGTAAATGTGCACATGTTGAATTAAGTTATGATCAATATACTGGATATATATGAGCTGATACTGAACCCTATTAGCCTAAAGGTCTACTGTATCATATTTGATGCGTAAATTTCCAAGGCCTCTAAATTATCAACATGGTCAAAATTTTGCTGAAAAATATGTTATCTTCTGTCATCTGATTGATAATTTATAAATTTTTTTTAGCAAATAAAAGGCTTTTCAGTAACATCTACCTTCAGATTTTGGTGAACGTGGCTTTTTTGCTGTGAAATCTTTACTGATTTTATAAAGTAAATGTAATAACTTTTATATTGTTATAATTTGGCAAAATGAACTTACTGGACTGAAGCAACTTTGGTTTGATCTATACATCTATACATTTGATCTATACATCATCATTTTTTTTTAAATCATGTTAAATGTATCAAATATGATACACCAGGCTTCTGAAGAATTTCTCATTCATCATTGTATTGCATTGCATTATGTTTTACCCACAACAATAAAAAGTGCAATGCTTTGATCATAAAACTGCATGAGCATGTAAATCTTACTAAAACAAATTAATGGGAGATACAGAGTGACAAATGATAATAAAGATAAAGATCTCATTGACCATAAAAATGTAAGCAACTGCTCCAAATATTTTTGTTCAGTGTGGGCTTCTGAATTAGAACGAGCTCCATATTTTCCTTATGTCATACTATATGAGCCAGCAAAGTCTGATGTATAGAATATGATACTCAACAACCAAAAAAAAAAAAAAAAAAAAAAAAAAAAAAAAAAAAAAAAAAAAAAACCAAAAAAAAAAAAAAAAAAAAAAACATATATCACAGTTTTTTTTTTGTGTAAAGCTTCAATCAATTATTATACATTTTTGGACTATAATTTCATATTTTACAATAAGATTAAGGAAGCATTAGATGATGGGAAAGCTAATCTTTAAAACAAAAAATATTTAATAATTGTAATCTTTAGCAAATCTCAAATTGAATATTTTTCTTTCATACTGTAAATTATAATTTAGTAAAACTTAAATTCACTTGTTAAAAAAATAATGTTTTTATTTCTTGTCCATAAGATGAAAATGATTGGCCTGTACTGTCCTGTTGGGTTTTACTTTAGCTTTGTGCATTATTCCTTACCTTTGATTGTTTTGCAGAATTACCTGGTTGTCTGAAGGCCCATTCCTCCTCTGCATCCAAATGAACTCCACCTGCCCTGTCTGGATCTGACGGAAAGAAGGCATGGCCAACAGATCCACCTGCTCCATCAAAGGGATATCCGTCTCCATGGGGACCATGCAAAAAATCTATTTGGAGATCCGCCCCCTCTGGTCCTCGCACCTATATGAAATAGTTCAACATAGTCTGTGAATTTCCATGAACACAAAAGCATTCAGGAACACTGAGTTTTAAAAAGTAACCACAACCTCATGGAACTCAAGTAATGTTGGATCGGCCCACACTCTGAGTGCATAGTACACAAGGGAGCGAATCATTTCACGGGACAGTTTAGAGGATGCCGGGTAAGAACGCAGCCTGAGAAAAAACAAAGAATAATACACTAAGATTTGCTGAGGTGTTTTTTAATATTTTACTTTGCTGTGATACTGTACATCATGTAGATGAATGCAGGATGGAAAAAGCAGGAAGAAAAAAACAACCGGTAAAATAATCATCAGGCTAACCTCCAGTTGATATTTCTTCTTGTCCAGGTAGAAACTGCTCTTTTCATCCTTTGATTTTGCATATCATCACTGTGTAGTGCCGATGTCTGAATGGTTTGGTCATCATCATCTGGAAGTGAACACCGGGGTGTCTGCATCAGTTGAACTGTCTCTTCATCTGTGAGAGGAAGCCAAGGGTAAAGACGAAGACACAATAGAAGAGTTATGAAATAAGACTGAGATTTAAAAACAGTGGGGGACATATTTTGTTTTTCATACCTAATACTCCTGTATCGTCCAAACCAGCAAACCTCTGCATTTTCTTCACTGCTTGAGTGACAGCTGTCCAGGCCTGTAACTGACCTGTAGAGGGATCAGGGGGCGGGAGATATCCATACTTTGTGAGCCAATCCTGCCAAACAGAACAATATGAAACCATCAAAATATATTCAAATACACCACCATTGAAATTTTCAAAAGAAATTAATACTTTATTCAGCAAGGATGCATTTGACTGATCAAAAGTAACAGTAAAAACATTTCAAATAAATGCTGTTTTTTGTCAACTTTCTATTCATTAAAGAATCCTGGAAAAAAATATATGACCATTTCCACAATAATATTAAACAGCACAACTGTTCAACTTTTCAACACTGATAATAATAAGAAATGTTTGTACACCAAATCAGCATATTCAGCTATGCCATCAGCGTAATAATTTTTAAAATATGCTCTATTAGAAGACAGTTCTTTTAAATTGTAATAATATTTCACAATATTACTGTATAGTTTATCAAATAAATGTAGCCTGGGTAAACATAAGAAACTTTTTTCAAAAACATTTAAAAAATCATGACCCCAAATTTGGCATTTCTAAGCATTTATGGGAATTGTAATAAATTATGTAATGCATTTGTAAATGATTCAAATAAAAGAGTTAGATTCCAATCTTTTAAAAAAGAAATTATTGAAAAGTATTCATATCAACCATGAAAGCAATATAAAACTGCCATTGCAACCCCATTTAGTTCTATAACATGCATTAGCAAGAACAAATTCGTGATGGGGGATGTGATGTTCTTAAAAAAAAGCTAATTTTAGGGGCAGAACAGATTATTACATTTTTCTTCAAAATTCTGAAAAACGAAATAATGTGAAAAAAACATGCACAAATGAATCATGCACAGTAAGAAGCATATAGGGTCAATTTCATGTTGACTTTTAATAGAAGACTACAACACTGAAAACTCTTTTCCAACTGCAGGTGAAACTGTAAATCATGTAAAACTTCCAAAACATTCTCACCACAAGTTTGATGTTCTCATCTTCTGTGGGTAACACAGTGGGTAAAGCAGTAGACATAACCGTGCTCGCCAAAGTGGTTGGCAGTGCATCTTTACCAGCCTTTCCATAAGCTTCCATTGTACGTCCACACATGTAGAAGACAACTACTGTCCAAAACATCGCCATCATACTGAGAGTGTATACATCATCTGCTTGGAATAGTAGAACTATGAAACCAATTCTGTTGACAGAGATATGCAAATCTCAGTCCTCCTTAGTCAAGTGATTTCAATGATGTCATCTTTGCTGAATCAGAGATGGTGGCCTCTCTTGTGTTGAGGAATTGTAGGATTGACTACACTGCTGACTGCGTTGGTTGTAATGTTGCGTGATTGATTTGCAGATGGCTAGTATCAAAGAGAAAAGGATGAAGAGGCTACAGAGGTTTTATGTGTTTCATTTTAAAGGAAAAGGGGACAAGCACAACAGATGTGACTAGGAAGAAATTAAATTAGCTGGTGTCATTTCATTAAAGAAATGTGGGAGACGTCGGGTTGGAAGAGTAGACGAGGGATGTGGAATGGGGCATGGAAAAAAAGAGTTATGGAATAATGGAATTAAAGGAAAACACTCCCAGTATCAGAGGACAAAGACAGAGGACAGTGTACGAAAGGGAGGGAGACTGACGGGAAAACGGGGAAGAGACACATGTATGCATGTAAATATGTATGGATTTATTAGTGTCTGAGAGATGAGACATTGACCCAGTCACAGAAAGACAGTAGGGGAGAACCTGCATAAATGTGACGCTCAATAAATGTAATAACGTAATGCATCGGCATGTCATTTATGATATGCAATTCAATCTCTCAACCTAACCTCCCAAAATATCTGACAGTTCCAGATGTGTAGAATTTATGTCAAACGCACAGCAAATTAAATTAAAAACGAATGATTTTAAAACAATAAAATGAATAACTATAATAAAGTATTACTTTTTTAGTAGTAGTAGTATTAATAACAATATATTAAATGAACTGCTTTGGGTGTAAAAATCTAAGTAAAAATGTTGTCCTTAAGTAACGTTGTGTTTTAGCGTCATCATTTCATTTCACATGTATTTTCAATATCAACTTGTTTGTCTTGCTCTGTTTACATGTCCTCTGAAGTCATGTACTCAAGACTGTACTCTACAATATGAGGATGTGTCTAGAATTTAAAAAGGTTTTAAACACTATATAGACAAATTATATATCTGCATGCTGTACATTATAAAGCTTTATCATTTATTGTTATCATTTACAATTATCACATGATGTTACAAGTGACAAGAAAGAAATAAACATCAATCTTTGTACTTCTAGTTGAACAGTTTCAGACTTTTTCAAATTTAATTGATGCAGGTAACAACCATTAACATGTCAAAGACGTTTGAAGCTAAATTTCAAAGCTTTAAGCTAAACATTTTCCAAAAACATGAGCAAAAAATGAAAAAGTGTTACACTTGCATACATGCTTTTCCACAAACCATTGGGAAATCTGTTGATATGGGTAATACATTCTCAGACTGAGCTTTTAGCTTCACTTAATCCCTGATGGACTGCATTTCTTAACAGCGTGCATTCATTTAAAGCTGTAATTTACACCACAACATAGGGGGGTGGAAATAATTATCAAGGCAATTTATAAGACATAACAAAGGATCCAGAATCATTTTAATCTTCTGAATAAGCTCAAGATAGTCAGACAGCAACAACGAAAACTTAATGCAAAGAAGAAGTTAATGCAATGAATGATCTTATTCAAAACAGAAAGAAATGGGGCATGCTTACTTTCACAACTTCTTTTCTTTCCTCCTTTGCACTCGCCTGCTCTGTCCCGTTGCCCTCCTTCTCTGTTCCTGAACAGATGTGTTTCTCTCATCTCCTCAACCAGACCACCCCCCCTTCTGCATCTGCACTCTCACAATGGACTCCTAATACCCCCCTCAATAATGTACCCACCCACCCCTGCTAAGTGCATCGGCATTTGCTCACTCTCTCTCTCTGTGCTTGGAAGATACCAGTGTGAAAAAGCCTCTTTATATCCAGCGAGGAGATTTAGATACATGCTTAATTGCACATGTCCATCCACTCTCTATCAAATTTCCTATACTTCATATGCAAATGACTCAAATGTCTCCTAGATTTAAATAACAGATGAAACACTAAAGTGATTCTAAACATATAGTATAAGGACATTTACATATTTATATATGCATCCTTTAATGTGAGATCTCAGTCAACTGCCGGATTAGGGTTTCACTTTATCTTTGGGTTTGTGTGTAGTTGTGGATATGTTGGGATTAAATCCTTTTAACGAAAGGATTAAAAAAATAATTAAAAATGAAGATTTGAACAGATCTAGCTAAATGCATTGTTGCTATTTGGTCTACTATGACATATCAGGTAACTTCTTTGTGACAATTTCTGTGTTTAAAAAATGTAAAAGTTTGTTGGCACATATACAATTAATTAAATCCTGGGACTTCTGTGCAGGGGTTAACTTGTTCAAACTTGTACATGACAGAAAGCAAGAGAGGCAGTCTGTCTTTTTTGCTGGATAATCTGTGGGGAGTCCCAAGGAAATAGCCGGATTGGAAAAGCATACTTACAAGGGCAACTGAGGCGTGTGCTGAATGTTTATAGTGTAACTTGACCTCCTGATCTGGTAAACATCTTAGAATATAACCTGTCAAAGAGAACTGCAAACTGGCCAAAATACTTTTAGAGAGAGAGAGAGAGAGAGAGAGAGAGAGAGAGAGAGAGAGCAGTATGAGCAAAGGAGGCATTATTGCCTTGTTGTCCTGCTAATGATTTTGACCCGCAGATCAAAGTGTGCGGCCTAGTGGGGCAGATGTGTTCAATGTATTTTTAGAAAGATGCACAAGGCAGGAAGTTTATCTGTGAATGGAAGTGTGTGTTCAAAAAGAGAGTGATCAAGAGCCACAAAAGACCAAGTGAAGTTCCTTGTCTCCAAGACAACCGAGATGCCTTAAGAAGAAATCCGCAATACAGATATTCATTGTGCACTCAAGACATGGGCCTCAACTTTGCTCTCACAAGGGACGGCACTGGAATTTCTTACTATGGTCACCTCTGACTAATACCACAAAAGATAGACTCCCAGTGAGTCACTCATCCTTCTGTTTAGAGAAAAGTATTGTATTTCACTGTTTAAAAGTATGGGATCAGTAAGACTTGTTTTTAAAAGAAAGTAATAGTCCACGGACACATTTACTTAATCAAAAGTGACAGTAAGAACATGCTGTTCTTTTTAACATTATATTCATCAAAGAATCCTGAAAAAATCCCGGTTTCCAAAAAAAAAAAAAAAAAAAAAGTTGAGCTGCACAATTGTTTTCAACCGGATAATCTGTGGATCTAATAATAAAAAGCATATTAGAATGATTTCTGAAGACTGGAGTAACAAACAAATAAATAAATAAGATGAAAATTCAGAACTGAAAGGAAGAAAATATATTTTAAAATATATTAAAATAGAAAAGTTATTTAAAATTGTAATATTTCACAGTATTGTAATATTTATAGTATTTTTGAACAAAAAAATGCAGACTTGGTAAACTATACACACACACACACACACTAATTTGGCAGTACTTTAAATGTTGTTGGCTCTTAAAATAAATTGCTTGTGATGTTCCTTGCTTTTGGATAAATCTTTTGATAAAATAATAAATATGTAAATGTTAATCGACAGCATGATATAGAAATCTACGTGATCTTCGACAACAGTCTGTTATATAACAAACAAAAAATAAAGTGTAAGAAAAATGGAGATGCTGGGGATTGAACCCGGGACCTCATACATGCAAAGTATGCGCTCTACCACTGAGTTACATCCCCCGTAACCGTGCTTCATGAGACAAATCCAATATATCGGCCAGACCGACCGACAATAAGGCTCTGCAATCTACAGAGTTCGAAGCTCATAATCAGATGTAATGTTGATTTAACGGGAATCTGTGGCTGCGTGCAGCATAACTAAAAACATTCTGACGCAGACAAGGTACAAACGTATCGCTCTCAATCATAATCCAACACACTTCCGCATAAATCGACAACATTTCACTTGCGGAAGTTCCTTCGTCAAATCCTACAATAGTGAAACCAAAACATTTCCACCTATGTGACACCAGTATTGATATTTACCTCCGTGATTATTTGTTTTCATAGAGACTTGTTTGAAAGAAATAGCTAAACAACAATAATTTCACGATCAATGTTCTCGCCTGGACGAACTTGTTGTTTGTTGTTCAAGACTGTGCTCTGTCAGCGCAAACATGTTTAATGGGGCAGGGTGAGGCAGGATTATGGAGGATATTATTTGTGTCAGCTCGGGCAGCGACGACGACTCTGATTTAGAGGTTATAAGCAGTTATAATGAAGACAAAGAAGACGTAGTTCCGTTCATTCGAGCACAATGGCTCCCAGTCACACCTGTAAGTTTATTCGACTATTTTCAAGCAGTTTGTCTGTATCAGACTCACAATGTTTTGCTTATTTGTTAGCCGCTTGCACTTTTATCAGTTTCTATGCAGAACATGAGCACTTTCATGCGGTTTCCATATGCAAAAAGGCATATTTGTTTAGAGTGATGCGTAAATTTACGCTTGTTTCTAACCGCACGTGGTTTGTGCTTTTTATACATGATTTTAGCTGCAGGAGACGCTGGCACGCGCACAGGTGACGTTACGTCGAGTTATTTATAATTTTTAAAAAGAGATTTTCATCGGTTTGCGGAGCACAACAACCTTCAAGAACAAAACTAAAATTTAAATAAATATAATTTAAATATTTAAATAAAATAAATGATATTTTATTGTATGTTTATCGTATTTCATTTTAGATTTCAATTTAATTATTTTGATATCAAGGCAGTGTTTATCGATAAATTGACTGATGCGCGTTTAGAAGATTACATTGAATTTTACATGCATTTTATTATGGGGTCTCTGGAATAAGCGATTCTGATTGGCCAGTCGAGTTTAACTGACCGCTCATCCGGGAAACCAGTGTTTCTCAGAGCTGTGCTCTTCACGGTCTGTGCAAGTAAGCTACTAAAATAACTTCAACTTTAATCAGTATTTAATATCTATCTATTTATTTATTTGGATACATAGCAGTGTAATAAGTGGGACAATGTACAGCAGTTGGCCATTGTTGCAAAAATACAACCCCTTCAAGGAGGCTTGATAGCCTTGTTGTCAGTGCTATTATTTTTGACATACTTGCCAACAGCCACCTGCTCTGTAGTTATCAATACTGGCATAAGTGTAGAAAAGTCTGTACCAATCTTTCACTGTATTTCGTTTGGTTTCTCCCACTTTATTCATTATTTGTTTGTCTCAGGTCCTCATCGATATCACAGGCCACAACTTCACCCCTCCAAGGCGAAGATGCTCAAGAAGAGATACATGCTCCTCCCTAGAAGTTATAGATCTAAGTGAAGACGATCCTCCTGATGATGTTGGTGTGCAGAAACCATCGGCAACTTTGCCATCAGTAGAAAGCAGAGGCAAGAAATTGCGTGTAACACCGGCATCTTTTGGAAAAGCTCAAGAATCAAAATCTCAAACCTGTATTGGCAAAGATGTGGCTAATTCAGTGTGTTTTGTAGGAAGCAGTCTGCAGTCTGTTGCCTCTAAGTCACTCAGTCAGGAGAGCACTCTCACAGACGTGCTCCAAAGTACAGAAGATTATTTGCATCAGGACACAAATTGTAATTCAAGCTTGCCGTCTGAGCAGCTGAGCTGGGATAAGTCTTTGGAACATTGCAGTTCCAGTGATAAAAGTAAAAGTCCGTTCAAATGTGAATCTGAAATATTAAAGAACTCTATTGTAGATGTATCGCAGAACACTAAAGACACACAGCTTAGTACACCAGCTGTCTGCAGCATAGAAACAGACCAAGAAGGCAATCTTGACTCATCACAGAAATGGGAAGACAGTGTTCTCTCTCCTTACAATCTTGACAGTCCATATTACTGTCCGAGTGAGGTAGATGCTTATATATTCTCGGATTCATCCATTAAGTCTGAAGATAATGATCATCCATTTACAACATGCAACAGTCAACAGTCATTTCAAACCTCTGAGCTTCCTTCTGCTACTCATACTGCATCAGTGTCCAATGCACTTTTATTAAAAGAGGACGGTGAAACAATGAATAACGGCAAAAATGAGGACCTACATACTCAGGTTCATCCCGAGCCTTCGTACCCCTCCATACCTACCTCATCTAGAGCATCGCCCCCCTGGAGCCCTGAGTTTTCGTCTAAACAGAGTAAGCCCAACAGTCCCACTTCCACAGAGATTCTTGCCAGTGACACAGCAGCACATTCCCCTGGTCTGTCTACACTGAGCTCACCAAGTAGCTCCTTCAGCCTCCTCATTTCGCAGCCCTCCTCGCCAAACCTTCCAGAGAGAACAGAGCAAAACAGAAATGATTCAGATGCAGGTTCCCCAGAAAGCCCTCCCATCAGGCTTTGGGACACAAGCAGCGATGGCGACAATGAAAATGTGCTGGATAATATGGAGTCAGATCTTTCTGAAAACAATTCAGAAGATAGACAACATATCTGTCTGACTCAGTACAGAAAATTTAGTCAGTGCATGAGTGGAACGGTTCCACACATGGTAAGACGTTTTAATATGCACATTGACATTTTAATAGATAGATTTAAAGGGATACTCCAAAATTCTGTCATCTACCTATGCTGTCACATATGTATATGACTTTTTTTCTTCAGATGAACATAAACAAGTTTTTTAGAAAAATAATCCACGAGAGATGCGAAAGCACAGAGGACAGTCATTTCTTGTGTTTCACAACATGCATACATGAGTTCAAA